AGGAATAGAGATTTCAAGAATATTTCAACATTTTTTCTCTATAAAATTTCATGGAAAATTTCTTTCGCCTCATGGAAATCCAAATATATAAATTTATTCTTATATATATATATTTGTAAATATATTACTAATTGATTTTTATTTACAAAATCTAATTGGCTAACCCAACCTAATCTAAACTGTCCAACCTAATTCCTTTCCTAGTTCTAGTTTTCTTAAACCCAATTCAATAATCCAACTCTAACCTTAACATATATGGTAGTTAATGCATTTTTTTATAAGCTTACTATTGCACCTATTAGATATGTATAACAGTATGTATTTGCCATAATTGATTACTAAACATTATTCTACAAGAGTATATATTATGGTAGTTTACTTGTTTGAATTGTTTTAAATTTTTATTTTTTATTTGTAAAAAAATAATATAAAATTTTGTACATTTGATACTTGATAAAAAGTCAAAATATTCATGGTCATAGGACCTATCATTCGCCTACCAGTAGACCTGGCAAATGGGCAGATTGGGTCGGGTTAGAATCAGGTCAGAATATGTAACAGGTCAAAACGAGTTGGGTTAAAATGGATCACGTGTCACAAGTTAATGAAGGTAGACTCTAACCCGCCTATCATGGGTCATAGGTCAACTCGTGGGTTGACTCAATTAATTTTTTTTCCTTTCATTTTTCTCTATAATTTGTTTCTATTATCATTTAAAAAAAATTATTCAAAAGATTTCAAAAAAAAATTCAACATCTTATAAAAAGAATTTTTTTTCCATTAATTTAATGTACACATATTTATAATTCTTTAGAATCATCTTCTTCACTTCCCTTCAAAGAAAATGTTAATTAAATTTAAGAACATGACACACTTATAAATCTTAATAGTAAAAAAAATAAAATAGTAGCATAACAACCAAAAAATACAAACCTCATTGGAACATATTGGGTTTGGTCATTGCTTTCAAAGAATCAATTAATTGAATGTATCTAAGCAAAGGACAAGATCAAGTAGAATTTTTACTTGGAATGGAGAGAAAACTAAAAAGCATAAATAAGTAAACAACTTACTTTAAAGGCTTTAGAGAGAAAAGTTGGTGACAAAGAGAGTACTTTTCAAACTCAAAGGAGAAAGAAAGAAAGGGTTAAGTGGACATGATGGTGACTTGATGAGACTAAGATCTAAGTCTAAGATAATATTAAAGACTAAAGAGAAAAGGTGAAGTCGAATCTTAAAAGTCGAAGGCTATATGGACTATGGAAATTGAAGAATATGAGAAAAGTTTGAATTTTGAAGAGTTTGAACTTTGAAGAGTTAGAGTCTTTGAGAGTATTAGGGTAAGCAAGAATAAGAACGGTCAAGAAAGTCAGGAGGTGAGTCATAAGTGGAGTGAGATTATTTTTACTTCTAGAAAATGATGAGTTAAGAGAATTAATTAACTAATTAGAGAAAATTAATCAATTATTAGAGGTTTATGTGGGATTGAGAATTGAAAAATTAAATAAATAAATAATAAATTAAAAAATTTTAAATTTTTAGATGGGTACACGGATCAAACCCGTTAACCTGATGAATTAACCCGTTAACCTGATAAATCAACCCGTTATTAACTCGTGACCCGTCGAATTCTCTTAACAGGTCATTAACGGGTTGCAGATCATAAATATATGATCCTAATTCATTTTAAACGGATCAAAAGAATGGACGAGTTAGAGGATTGAATAAAAAATTACCAAGTCTACCTGTCAGCTACCAACATAAGGACGGATGCCATTTTTAACCCTTGTAAAAACTTCCCGTTAGATACCCATACCATCATTGAAAGAAACAGGGGAGGAGGTCGGGTCCGGTGGGCTCCGTTGCCATCCTTACAAATAAAGCTTGTCCCTCCACGACAGGAGACCTGAGATGCGGATGCCAACTGGGCCTTGGTTCGAGTCCGGGCAACCCTCACTTCCCTGGCCATAAAAATTAGTAAATTACTATTAAAACAAAAGTGGGCTCAGTCCACACCCGATCCATGAACGGTCCGGGTCACGGTTCATAAACCCTGTCGCTCGGAGCTACGGATTCGCAAATAATATGACGTGATTTGTTTATGTATTCCAAGTGAATTGCAGATCCATTTTCCGGTCGGAGCTCGACAAAGCGATCGATCTTCCGAACGACGATGATTAGAGACGCTTCAATTTGTCTCTTACTCGTACTCTACTTAACCTCAGCTGCCTCCGCCGATTCCGTCCACGGTTGCGGTGGTTTCGTCGAGGTGAATCTTATACTCTTCTCTTGTCCTCCGTTCGGATCCTGCAGGAATTCTGAAGGAGCCAGATCTTGAATTCTTGACTGTTGGATTTGCTATTTTTCGAGTACTTAGTTACTCCGATGAGTGAGCTCGAGTTACTGATATGAAACAGTGTGGAAAATCAAGGAGCCAATTCCTTAGATTTTTTTTTTTTTTTTTTTTTCTGTATTAGAAACTTCAAGAACGTCGTCAACTATTGTGATTGAGTTTAGTCCGAAATGAGGTTTCTATTTTGACTGTTTGGATGAATATCTCAAGAGCTAGAAAATCAGGCTGGATCTCTTTTTTATCCTCTCTAATCCCGTATTCAATCCAAATTTGTTAGTACTAACCACGAATCTCTCATCTGTAGGCTAGTTCGTCTCTGACTAAATCGAGGAAGCCAAGGGATGCAAAATTCGATTATTCTGATATCACGGTACGAGTTAATGTGTGTGCGTGTGGTTTTTTTTTTTTTTTTAAAGTATATGTGATAGTTTTATTTAGATATATGAGCTGCATATGACTATGATTGTATGGTCTGTGGAACCGTAGGTTGAGCTTCGTACTATAGATGGATTGGTGAAGGAAAGAACACAGTGTGCTCCTAATGGGTATTACTTCATCCCAGTATATGACAAGGTTAGTTTCATAACTCTAAATATGCGAGACAATGCCTGTTTCACTAGTGATACTTACTGGGTAGTTGGGTGGCATCTATTAACATTTTGTTATCCATCTGCACCAGTACCTTGTATTTTGTTTTGTTATGGGTTTCCATACCATTGCTAGTATATTTTTAGCTTCAAAGTTTTAGTGATGTTATGTGGTAGTTTGCAGCTCTTTGTGAATAGTATTTATTGTTTACATGTTTGTACCCAATCCTCATCCAGTGCCCAGGCATATCACATGATTACTTGACAATATTTCTGATGTGCATGAAATTTTCGGTGTGGTTTTGATCGCCATGGTTTCTATTTACAGGGTTCTTTTGTTATTAAAATAAAGGGACCAAAAGGGTGGTCCTGGGACCCAGATAAGGTATGGTTCATTGTAATCTTATGCACTGAATGTGCATCTTGTACTTTTTTTAATAGATGGTCTTTATATTGTAAAAGTAACAAAAAAAAAGTTGTATTCTGTAGGTTCCTGTTGTCGTTGATGATACTGGTTGCAATGGAAATGAAGACATCAATTTTCGGTTTACAGGGTTTGTCTTATAATTTGTTATTTTTTGTTTCTACAACTCTATCATGGTTCAGGTTGCATGCACTCTTAAGTTCCCAGCTCATTTATGCTTTTCATGATATCCTAAATTACCTTCTACACGTTTACATATTGCAGGTTTACCATATCGGGTAGAGTTGTGGGAGCTGTTGGTGGGGAGAGCTGCTTACTCAAAGATGGAGGTCCTTCAAATGTGAAAGTTGAACTTTTATCTCCTCATGATGATCTGGTTTCCACTGTATTAACATCATCGAATGGGAGGTATTTGTTTACAAATATTATTCCAGGTATGGAAGTTCCTGTATCACTTTCTTGCTGGATGAATTGTATTTTTTATTTGTTTATACTTATTTGACATCTGTGCTGCTGCACTTCTGGCTCGATTGAAACCTGGGTAACCAGAAGTCATGTTCAGCTGTACAATTAAGATTTTAATTCATCATTATGGTTATTGTTGATAAGTTCCTGATTATTGGAAGTCATGAAGCAAGAGTCATGCAGTGCCCAGGCACCATAGCATAATTTTGCACGTATTTTTACTTTTACAGTTCCTTCCCCATCTCCATGGTCAACAAGTATATAAATACTTTGATGTACTTATGCATGCAATAGCATAAAGTTACAAAACTCAATATAGTTTTTACTGATTAAGATTTTACTTTTTAGTGCTTCTTTTGCTGGTGCACTCCAACATATATAGTTAATTAATGGTTGATAAAGTTACTATAAATGAGTGTAGACAGAGTCCTTCTGAATGAGATTTTGCAGGCTAATAAAAGGAATTATATCTTGAATAAGGAATCTTGCATGCCAACTTTTAGTTATTCAATTATCAAATAAGGCTCCTAGTTGTTAGATGCTTTCTGCAATTTGATGATTAATACTAATAGGGATATTCCTTATTTACCTAAATTACTCTTTTTATGTTATTCTCATTGTGGTTCAGGAAAGTACAAATTACGTGCTTCACATCATGATTTGAAAATTGAAGTTAGAGGTTCCACAGAGGTATTTTATAGTATCTCACTTGTCATCTCATTTCACACTTTTTATTTTTTTAATCATTATAAAAATATGCTTTAGACACCAACAGTATGGAAATATGCTGCCTGTAGGTGGAATTGGGATTTCAAAATGGTGCAGTTGATGACATTTTCTTTGTTCCTGGCTATGAAATCCATGGATCTGTGGTGGCTCAGGTGCTTGTACTGGAATGCTATATTGTTTTATTTTATACATCAGTTTGTATGAGTATATGCTCTATTATCCAAAAATCCAAAAAAAGTACAGTATATGCTCTGTCATGTTCAAAAAGTTCATCATCAATATAACACTTTGAGACCAAGAATAAGATCCATGTATAAGATTTGTTTTATTCATTATCACATTTTGGCATATTTTGAAGGTCAAATTCTTTCTCATCCAAGAGGGTGAGAGGGAGGGATTTATTACCTGGTAATTGAATTTGTGATGTAATTGTTTCTTGAAGGGAGAGAGATTAGTGATGTTTAATGCAAACCCTTTAGTTTACTTGAAGGTCCAAGTGTTTAATAAGTTTGAGAAGTTTATCCATGAGTATGATATTGTAAGATCAAATGAGCCACATATGATTAGTGTTTTCTCTTGTTTTTAGTAATGTGAAGGTGACCTTTCTCACTCTTCTTTCCTCAGCCAAAAGGGAGGAGGCATTTCTGCTCAAGTAGTCAAACTAGTTGCATTCTGCATAAATCATTAGAACATTCTTTCTGTTTTCTCCCCCATTATCTTTAATTGAGAATCCCCCCCCTTTTTTTTATTTTGTTTTTGTAGGGAAATCCTATATTGGGAGTCCACATCTATCTATACTCTGATGATGTTGTAGAGGTAGATTGTCCTCAAGGTTCTGGTAATGCCAGAGGACAACGAAAGTCACTATGTCATGCTGTATCTGATGCTGATGGAATGTTCACATTAAAATCAATACCTTGTGGTAATTCTTTGTTTCAGTTGTTTTATCTGTGCATGTGTTTATTTTTCTAGGAAATTGTGTTGATGCTGATCTCTGATCAGCACGATTATTAAAAAAAAGAAACAAAAGATTCATCAGTGGCAAGTATTACCTCTTTCTGTTAATAAAATGCAGTCAATTGCCAATGCTGTCATGAAACTTAAGTTAGCACTCAAGAAATACCTGACTTGTTCAAGGGAACAGAGTGATTTGATCAGAGAGTTGTATCCGTATTGTTTCTATTGATTTGCTACATTATTAAATCTCTTAGCTGATGGAGCATTTGTAACATAAGTTTCATTATAGTCTGACCCTTATGATCTCTATAGTTCAGAGCTGTGGATTTCATCATAAAATAATCTTCTTCTTCTTCTTCTGTTTTCCCAAACATTTTCTGTTTCTAAATACTTCCCTGAATGTATTGCTTTAGAGAATATATGAATCAAGCTAAACAGGAGTGATAAACTCAATGAAATATCTAGTGTCTGAAGTTGAGATTGTCATGTAGCACTTTTATGATACATGGTATTAGGGAAGAGTAAGAGAAACTTATTCTAATGCTTAAAGCTTTGACTGACTCGCAGGACGTTATGAACTTGTACCATACTACAAGGGTGAGAACACAGTATTTGATGTCTCACCCTCTGTTTTATCAGTGTCAGTTGAGCATCAACATGTAATAATACCCCAAAAGTTTGAGGTAATTTTTAATTCTTTTATCAGTTCCATAAACAATTTTAGGTAATACAAAAACTCCATTCTCATATTTTGCTTAGAGAGTTTATTAAACAAAACCCTTGAGAGCAAAAATTGAAAATGGAGTTGTGTGGTTAAGTTTTGTTTTTGTTTGTTCCAAATCTCTCAGATGCATGCATGTGTACATTTGCATCTATTCATGCATGTTAGCCCGAACTTCCACCTATATTTTTGACATTACAGAACCATTGTTTATACTCTTAACTATAAATATTCTAAGAAAAAGCACTCCATATTTTAAATTGAGATTGGCTGCATTGGATGTGCCTCCTTTATATGAGTCTGCTTGTCTCTTGTCAATTGGTGTAGCCAGTTTTATGCCATAGAGCTCTAGTATGGCCATTCTACAATGTTGTAGAGTATTCTTTGAAATCAAAGCAGCTTGAATTTTCTCAAACTCTTTTAGAGCATATTCAATACTGCCATGTTTTGCATTACATCATTATATAGGTGTTTAATTGAAATTTCCTGTTTTTTATCTTTTCATATAGGTCACTGGATTCTCCATTGGGGGTCGTGTAGTTGATGGAAATGACATTGGAGTGGCAGGTGTTAAAATTGTAGTTGATGGTCAAGAAAGGTCTATCACTGACGAACAAGGTTATTACAAGCTTGACCAGGTATAGTTAAACATCTTCTCTCAATTAGACAATTACCAGGTTTTTCAGTTGTTTGGCTTTGCAAATTTGTAAGTTTAACTATTCCATGTAGTGTTTTTCCCTCTTGTTTCTTTTGCTTCTTAAAATACATTGGTTGTTTTAGGTTAAATCAAAGCACTATACAATTGAGGCCATAAAGGAGCATTACACATTTGGCAAATTGAAGGACTACTCGGTAAAGTTTATCATTAGAAAATCCTAAATTTTTATTCATATTACCTTTTCAACCAACTAACCTTTTGTGTGATTTGTGTGAAAAGTATTCATTCATACAATATTCTTAATGACCTTTACTTTGTTTTCTGTTGCTTGATTGTTTAGGTTTTGCCAAATATGGCTTCAGTTGCTGACATTAAAGCAGTCTCTTATGATCTTTGTGGTATAGTACGGATGGTTACTTCTGGTTCCAAGGCCAAGGTACTTTTCAGATCTACGTTTTGTATTTCAGTTGCCCTTTAATTTTGCCCCATATTAGCTCATTTCACTGTTTCAACTTTTAATCCTAGGTGGCTCTGACTCATAGACCACAGAACATGAAACCGCAAATAAAACAGACAGATGCAAGTGGAAATTTCTGCTTTGAGGTATGTTGCCTTTCCTGCAAAGTTCTGGACTTCATTTTTTATGGCATTTCTATGGTTTAGATGAAATTCTTTATTTTCTGGGCTGTGGATTTGGTGGTTCTGTTATTTTACTGGGTAAGATCAAATCTGTTCATTGCTGCTAAGATGATCTTTGTCTAGTTATTTATTGGGTAATTTGACATGAAAGATGGCTGAGCCTTTTATTGGTTGGTACTGTTACCTTAAATAACATGGTTATTGCTTGTTGAGCTGAAGCTGTTGGTCAAAAGTCACTCTGCATTCAATGCATTCCACTTAAACCCTTTGCTGGTATTTACGCCATATATACCTGAGCTGAAGCTGAGAGTTTGAATTTTACAATCTGAAAGATAACCTGGCCATGTTGCCTATGGGGTTTCTGTAATTAAGAATTTTACTGAGGCCTTAGAATCCATTCTAATCCATTTGTGCAATAAAAGTTTAAGTCTCATGACATCAACCCTTGAACAAGCATGTTAAGTTATTTTTTTGGGCTTTGGGCCAGAAAATCATCAACAAGAATGTTAATTTGATGAAGTGGATCTTTGGAACATAGTTATGAACTAGTCACTTTGTGAGAAATGGTGATCGTTGCAATTCTCTGTACTAGTCTATTTAGTTTGATGACCTGTTCTTGTAATTCTTCTATAATTGTTCTATCCATATGAGATAGTTTTGAGTCTCTAGGACATGTCCTCTGGTTTTTGCTCACAGTTTATTCTTAAATTTGATTTTCTTTTTCTGAAACAATTTCATCTCTTTATCTTGCCTCAAATGTCTTCAGGTTTCACCAGGTGAATATCGCTTGTCTGCTGTGGCTGCTAAACCTGAGAGTGGCCCTGAACTTTTGTTTTTGCCGCCTTATGTTGATGTTGTGGTGCAGAGTCCATTACTTAATGTAGAATTTTCTCAGGTAAATTTCTTTCTTTATTAGAGAAGCTAACTTTAGTATTTTTTTCTACATTATTATCAAACTTTTATCTTGTTGGAACTCCAAACATCACTCAGTATCCAGCATGCCTTGTGGCTTCTTTCCCTTTTTATTTGCTTTGTTATGATAATGCTAATAGACTGTTTATTTTTTTGCCAACCATTGACTTTTATTTAAAAATACCTTTTACTAAAATATTCTTCCATTTGACATTATTAAGGCACGGGTCAATGTGCTTGGCACTGTAGCCTGCAAGGAGAAATGTGATCCTTCTGTTTCTGTTAGCCTTGTGAGAATGGCTGATACATGGAATGAAATGAGAAAGACAGTTAGGATTACTGATAAGAGTAGTGAGTTCCTCTTTTCTGATGTTTTCCCAGGAAAGTACAGGGTTGAGGTACCATGCTAGTTCCTTTATTTCTAGATACTTGTTTCTTGTTCCTTTAGTTGCATGCTGTTTAAGCTTCTGAGTACTGCTGAATTTTTTGCCCTTTTTTTGGGGTGATATTCATCTTTCAAGGTTAGACACACTTCTTTGGAGGCTACATCCAAGGAAGATGACTGGTGCTGGGAGCAAAGCTTTGTTGACATTAATGTTGGGGCAGAGGATGTTAAAGGAATTGAATTTGTTCAAAAGGGATACTGGGTCAATGTTATCTCTGCCCATGATGTGGATGCTTACATCACTCATCCAGACAGCTCACGTGTCAATTTGAAAATCAAGGTAGTCTCTGCTTGATAAAACTTCCTAGTCAAAGCTCAAACAAAACATCTAGTGACCATTATGCATTACCATGTCAAATTCACACATCATGTTATGCAAACTGCAGAAAGGTTCCCAATATATTTGTGTTGAATCTCCTGGAGTGCATGAACTTCACTTTGTTAACTCGTGTATTTCCTTTGGGAGCTCTTCTATGAAGATCGACACATCAAAATCATTGGTAAGGTTTTATATAGTTTCCTTGTTTCTTTTCAGCAGTGAATGGTAGAATAATTCTATTTTAATTTATTTATTGACTTTCTGGCGCACACATTGTGGTATTTTGTAGCCTATCTATCTGAAAGGAGAGAAGTATCTTCTTAGAGGACAAATCAATGTTGAGCCAGGCTCATCTGCTGGTGCATTGAAATTGCCTGATGGCATAATTGTTAATATTTTGGGTGGTGAAGGCACTGTTGTTAACAGTATTGATGCCAGGATAGCGTCCAGTGCTGATGATCAATTAAGCACTGCCATTTATGAGTATTCTGTGTGGGCGAATCTTGGAGAAAAACTTTCCTTTCTGCCTTTGGACCCTAGGTATATCTGGTTGTTGTTGTTCTTAATTATACTGTGTCAATTGGACTTTACATTCCAAGAAGAATGCATAAGTTGTACCATACTGAGGGATTTCAGATTAGTTACACTCTTCTCTCATTTAAGAAAACTGACAGACTTGCATCTTTTCCCTCCATCCATCATCTTTTCCCTTATGGATTTGACGATGGAGAAAATGGACTGTATTCTTGCTAGTGATTTTAATATGCACAAGTTTTGATTCGTATTTATTTGGTATTTAATTTAGATTATTTCTCACAATGATCTACAATCTGATGGTATTTTGACGATGTTGAAAATTCTGAAACTTTTTAAGGGTGTAAGCTTTTGATAGATGGTAAGAGTTACTGGCTTACCATTTTATCACATATGATAAGATGTTGAAATGAAATAACTTTTCACAATGAATATGAGCTCTTAATGCATAAATCAGAATTGTATAAAAAACTAGCTGCTAGGTTGTTAGCTATTTGCAGTTTGATTCTGAAAAAATCTTCCCAATTTGTTTGTAGGTTGGGGTAGTTTTTGAGCATCTTTCTTGTTTATGCATGTTTACTTTTGTAGAGAGTTCCCCTGCTCCCTTGTGCCAATGGCTTTGCATGAGTGACTCTCTTTTTCTCCTTGCCTATTTTTCTGAATGTGATGTTCTATTTCTCAATATTTGTGAAGTAATTTGTTGTGACGTTGAGTAATCAATACTTGCTATAGCTGCACCCTGTATGCTAACTAGAACTGTAATGTATTGCAGGAGTAATGGAGAAAAGAAGATTCTATTTTATCCAAGACTACATTATGTAAGCATCTTATCAAGTAACTTCCCTAAGAAAATTCACTGCTTAAACAACCTTCATTTTCTTTAATTCTTTACCCATCTTTCGTCAGGTCTCAGTGGCAGATGATGGTTGTCAAGCTCCCATTCCTCCATTCTCTGGTCGACTCGGGTTATACATAGAGGGATCAGTCACTCCCCCTATATCTGGTGTTGATATAAAGATATTTGCTGTTGATGATAGCCAACTGGCTTCACTAAGAAAGGGAGAATTAGCTTTTGAAACTGCAACTGGTCCCGATGGTTCCTTTGTTGGGGGACCTTTATATGATGATATAACCTATGATGTAAAGGCTTCAAAGGTATAGAATATTTGTAATGCAACTCTTGTTTCCCTTGTTTGCCGTCAATTGTTGTGTTTGCTGATCTCTCAGTTTCATGTTTGTTACTGTTGCAGCCTGGGTATCATCTTAAAAAAGTAGGGCCTCTATCTTTTTCTTGTCAGAAGTTTAGTCAAATCTCTGTGCGTGTGTATTCTAAAGATGATGCCGAGGAACCTATCCCATCTGTTCTATTGTCTTTGAGTGGGGATGATGGGTATAGGAATAACACTGTATCTGGGACTGGTGGTACCCTCCTCTTTGACAACTTATTTCCTGGAAATTTCTATCTACGTCCTTTGCTAAAGGTACCCTCCTAGAAAAGACTTCCTTACTGATTTGCATATCTATTATTTCCATCCCTTCAGATGTATACATCTGATATTTTTGGTTTTGTAGGAGTATGCCTTCTCACCTTCAGCACAGGCAATAGAACTTGTTTCTGGAGAATCTAGAGAAGTCATTTTCCGGGCTACACGTGTTGCTTACAGGTTTTCTCTCTATTATCAATTCTCTTTTAATTGTCTATTTGTGCTTGTCAATAAGTAAATCATGCTTTTGTTATATGGTATTATATAAGTTTTTTGTGTAATCCACATGAAAATTTACATTGAAATGTCTGAAACATTTTTCAGTTTGAAATTTAATATAAATGACTTTCACCACGGTTCTAACTACAATTTCCATTTTGATGTTATGATTTGAATGTTTGAGCTTGCATAAGAATTTAATATAAACTTGCCTTTCACCACTCTTCCAAAGCATTCATGGCCTAGGTTCCATGAGAGTTTTACTAGAAGTGGAAATGAAACTTGGATTATTCACTTAAGAGGTTGTCATTGTCCTGGATATGGGCATTAATGTGGTACCAGTCCATGACTACCATTAATTTAGTTGAAATTCCCCTCTCCTAATTGCTTAAGCCTTAAGATCCTTTATCATAAGTTCATCTAACTTTGATGTAAGCAACGTATTGTGACTTCTTGAAATTGTGCAACATGGCATTAGCATATGTTTAATTTTTTCACAGTGCTATGGGTACGGTGACTTTGCTCTCTGGCCAGCCAAAAGAAGGTGTCTATATTGAAGCCCGATCAGAGTCAAAAGGCTACTATGAGGAAACGGTGACTGATTCATCTGGAAATTATCGTCTGCGAGGACTGTATCCTGACACAACATATGCAATCAAAGTAGTGAAGAAAGATGGCTTCAGTAGTGCTAAAATAGAACGTGCATCCCCTGAATCTGTTACTGTAAAGGTTGATTCTGTATATACTGATGCTTGTCCCTTCCGTTTTTAGCAGATGAAGACATTATGCTGTTATTTATTTATACTAAATAATGTTGGTAGATTGTTATGTTGATGTGGTTGGTGGTGTTGGACATGGTCAGCTGATCAAGCTTAATCAAACCCCATCCTCTTTTTTTTTTTGTTTTTTTAAATCTCTTGGAGAAAATCATGCGTGTTTCATATGTTTGCTAAGAGCTGAGTCTAATATGCATGTTTCTTATATCTTAGGTTGGAAACGAGGATATCAAGGGATTGGATTTTGTGGCCTTTGAACAGCCAGAAATGACCATCTTAAGTGGTCACGTTGAAGGGAAAAGGATTGCGGAACTACATTCAAAACTCTTGGTGGAAATAAAGTCAGCCAGTGACCCTTCCAAAATAGAATCTGTCATTCCATTGCCGTTATCTAACTTTTTCGAGGTGAAAGACTTACCTAGAAGTAAGCATATCCTGCAGCTGAAATCAAGTCTTCCATCAAGTACTCTAAAATTTGAATCAGAGATAATTGAAGTTGACCTAGAGAGCAATGCCCAAGTTCATGTCGGCCCTCTCAGATACAATGTGAAGGAGGAGCATCATAAACAGGTTTGTTCAATTTCTCTACAAAATGTTCTATTGTGAACAATGTTGCATTACATAGAACAATGCTGCATTACATAGAACAATGCTGATCTAGAGGTGTCCTTAATCTCCATTCCATGATGAGTCATGTATCTGCTTAACCAAATCTAATTTTACATGCTGCTTTTGCTGGGTACCTGTTCACTTTCATTTTTCATTTCCTTCACAACACAACAGGAAGTAACTCCTGCGCCAGTATTCCCACTAATTGTTGGAGTTTCAGTTATTGCTCTCTTTATCAGCATGCCAAGGTAAGCCCATTATATTTCCATCATAAGCATATAAATTCAGAGAGCATATTGGACAAGTTCTGATCTTAATTTTCTCTAATTATAAGATTGAAGGATGTCTACCAAGCGACAGTGGGAATGTCAACACCAGCTTTAACAGCAAATGCTAAAAGAGAAGCACGAAAGCCTGCTGTGAGAAAGAAGACTTTTTGAAGTACCCTCCTTCCATCCACGAGATGCTAAGCCTGTAGGCGTCAACTTTTGTAGTGAAAACATTCATTCTCCATTCTGTTCCAAGTTTTGGTCGGTAACCAAAAAAAAAATATATATATATCCGGTTAGAGTAATAGCAGTAGAATATGACCCTCTTCAGCTAGAAACAAATACAGTTATTAAAATAGGAGCTCAGTTGAAGTCTGGCAAAGTCAAGTTTCACTAAAAATATACTTGGCACGGATCTTTCGTAACCCTCAACTTACATATTTCCATTCGAACCAAGAACTTATTTCCTCAGCTCATTGTATAAAGACAAATATCGACTCAATCGTACATTTTTGCTCATATTCAAGTTTCTAAATTTTAAACCCTTTTTTGTTCTAATTATGTACTAAAGTTGCGTATTGGGTTATTTTCTTATTATGCTTTTTCTTACAGTATTTATTAAAAATATTAATTTATAATAATTAAATTAATTTTAAATAATATTTTATATAAATTTATGGTTAAATTAATATATAAATTTTTTAAAAAAAATAATAAAAAAAAAAAAAAATTTTTTAAAAAAAAAAAGTAAAAAAAACCAAAAATAAAAAAAATTAACAAAAATCAAAAAAAAAATTAAAAAAAAATAACCTGCCGGAAAGCAAGGCAAAAGAAAAAAAAACAACAACAAACAAGAAGAACCAATTTTAAACAAACCAAACCAAAGAACCTGGTAAAACAACCAAAAAAAAAAATTATCATTTTAATCACATGGATTTACTTAAAGTCAATGTTACTTGTCTCTTTTCTTCTGTTTATGAAACAAGAAAAAATGCCATTAATTTCTGTTATACTTTTCAGGCTGTGAGGCTAAGGACAAATGTAGCTGTATTCCATCATACAAAGAAATTTGCTGTTTACTGTAAAACCAACGTGTAATGGCTAGCAAATTGTGTTAGGAGGATGTAAAATTTTCCTAACTTCTGTTTATTTCTATCATCCCTTCCTCGGCTTAGTGGGTAAGAACAAATGTAGCCTTATCTTGTCTATAGAGAAATTACCAACTTAGACTTAGTTTGGAAGTCTAGCCTATAGCTCTAATGGTTGGTTTTTTAGTCTTTTAATATCTTAAAAATATATTTAATATTTGTTTTGAATAATACTTTATATATTTTTAAAATAATAAAAAGATATAAAAATTAAAAATTAAAACATTGAGAAACATTATCAGACGAAGCCTTAATAGCATGTGTTTATGCCAAAGTCAACAAGGCTTATCTCTTTTGTTCTAGTTATGGCACATAGATAATTAGGTTGTTTGAATTAGCTTTTTTGAAATAATTAATAATTGATAGTTAATATCTAACGATTAATAATCGTTGAAATTTATAATTTAAAATATTTAACTCGTTTAATTAAAACCAACAATTGATAGCTATTTTCAAAAAATTAAAACAAATGCCCTTAATATCCCATTAAATTGTGCTAGGTGTGAAATTAAATTACTTCTAACACCTACCTATTTTTGAGTATAACATTTTAGGCAATGTAACAAAGGACTAATCCCTCTTAGAATAATAAATGTTTTTTTTTTTTTATTTAGACTTTCGTATGAGAATAATAGATATTTTTTTTATATTTTAAAAGAAATAAATATTTTTACCTAATTAATGCTATGATTATCTTTTAATTTTAATTTTCATCTTATCACCAAAATATTTCTTTATTTTTATTTTTTCTTAAGGATAAAATAAAATTTCTCCTAAATTCTTAATTTAAATATATGTATATATATAAAATCTACTATTATTTTAGGATTGAGGGAGTACCAATTGTACCCCTATTGATCCGTACAAAGAAAATTACCTGATACAAGCTTCATGTATTCATTTATTTATTTTTATCTTAAAATAATAAATTTATTTTGATTTTATCTTTATATTCAAGATTTGAGAAAAATTTTTATTTTATTTATTTATTTTACCTTAAAAAATTAAAGGAAAGAGACTTTTTTATAATATAATTAATAATTAAAAAATAATGATAA